AAAAGGCCACAAAATTGCAACCAAAAGCTGCTGGCGGCGTTTTTGCATAGGTTGTGCGGGTGTTGCGGCTATGTGTGTGTGTGTGTGTTTGTGTTAGTGTGTGCTAGGGTGTGTGTATGTTAGGGTATGTGTGTGTTAGGGTGTGTGTGTGTGTGCTAGGGTGTTAATGCTGTCAGGTAGATAGAATAAAAGACCCGCAAGCAATAAACAAATAATCATAAATAATGGGGAAATTTTTAACAGGCACGCTCGAAATTAGCTATTAATTGCAGCAAAAGAGAGAGGAAAAGAGCGAGAGAGGGAGAGTTATAGAGGGTGAGCGTCTGCTAGCCGTTAACAGGGTGGCAACGCTGGCGCTTCAATTAGGCTTACGGCCGACTCATATGCAAATAACGCGAGCACAGTTGCTCGACAGAAACTGTAGCATACTTATAAGCGCTGGCCAACTAGAGCGCGGGCGGGTCGGCACTTTGTCATTGATTTGATTTGGTTTCGTCTGATTGCCAGCTGTGTAATTTATAGGGAAGGAGTTGGTAGAGGGAAGAGGCGGGGCGGGGGCGGGCTCTCGGGGCTGTTCCAAGACGTAGCTGTGGGCTTAGCATATGCGCACGACTTCAATCAGCTATGTAAAATCTATGTAAAATATTTATATTGCACTCGATGCATTCCGTTGAATGGCTGGCCAAGACGACGCCCGGCTGCATGCGTAATCAGTGCAAATGTCATTTACATAAACATTGTGCCGCACAAGTGCTGGGGCCAGAGCATTATGCTATTGCACAGTTACCAGACGACCACGATACAGAAGATGCACGATACACGTTGCAAGCTGTGTGCGTGCGTATGCAACTCGCTTTCTCTCTCTCTTGTTATGACATTTTCATTATTTATTTAGACAAAAGAGTTGCCTCCCACCATGCTAGACCCAAAATTAGTTTGTTTTTGCCATTGAGAAAATCCTGAAATTATTATCAAATAAATAAGTGCACACTGTACTCAAAGTATACCGTACACCCGCCCGCAAGCCCGAACTATAATTTCGCACAAAAATCTATAGCATACGACTTGCCACAGCGAGCTGGACTGCACGGCAGTCCGATGCGAACACAAAGTGGACACACAGTGGACACTCGTGTTTCTCGGGCGCCTGCATCTGAGTTTGGCAAACAAAATTGCTTGAGTTTTGTGTGCCATAAAATGTAGCATAAGTAAAGTCCTGCCAAATAAATATGCATATCCATGCAGCGCGCGTGTCCATGTGTTTGTATCTATTTATATATATATATATATATACATGTGTTTATATCTGCATGTCCAGTCCGAACAGCAACCGCCCCTGTGTAGTCGACGTTAGTTTTGCTGTGGTTTATGCGTAGATTTTGCGGTCGGAGCTGAGAGGCAATTGCGGCTAGCATAAATCACTTAAAATTTGTGCCAAATAAATACAGTGAGCCACAAATATTCTGGATTTGCATGCTTGAGAGCTGTGCTAAAGTCTGACTTTTCCTGCACACACACACACAATAAATAAATAAAAAAAAAAAAGAAGAGAACTAGAAATACAAATAGGAAAAAGCATCAAAAATAAATGAAAATGAAAATAAATATGTTTATATGGCTATGCAAATCAACTGCACACACACAAACAAGTTGCTTTTAAAGTTCAGTTTGCAGCGAATTGAGACATCCCAAAACGATTTATCTTTCGAATTAGGCGTATCATTAAATAATTTTAAAGGTCAAGTAAATAATAATAACTATGCAATGGGCTAGCTTTAAGGAAAACAAACATATTTGCTTCGGCAAATAGTTGTACTGCTCAATTCGCGTTTTTATCGCATTCTCAGCTACCTAGTGGCAAGATTTATTACTACATCAGTACATTTTTTTTTTGTTTTTCATTTATCGCCATACTATCCGCGTGGCGATAAAGCTAAAAGTGCTTTAACTTTTCTACAGGATTAGCTTGATTTAAATATTTCCTGAGCTCATCAAACTTGAAATTCGACGGCGCAGCGAAAGTGCAGCTTAAAGGCATGTATGAAAAATGCAAAACTTTTCCAGACCAGATCCATAGCTATGCACACACAAAAGCACACACACACACGCGCACACACAGACACATGCACCGTAGCTACATAGACACGCTTCGAGCTGAATGGGGAATATGTCGTATACGCAACGTAAAACTTAGCCAGGCGTAAATGGATACATCTTGACTATAAGTGCATGCCAAACACACACCGACACACTGACACGCACATACACACACGCACACGCACACACAGCAGCAGCTCTCAGACAAAACATGATAACAATTAAAACTTTGTACACTTGGCGTATTTACATTATTCATTTCGGTGTTGGATTCTCTTGTCACATTCGTAATCGTTGCAGCCGGCTCTATTGTCTCACTCTCTCTCCCTTTCTCGCTCTCTCTCGCACTCTCTTTATTTTCTGCATTTTATTTAAAATTTTATCACTTTTGCGGGGTATTCTGTTCGGCTTTCTCTACCCCAAGCTAATTTTTAGCTAAACCAAATAAATGAAGCCAAAAAATAATGATTTAGCTGCAGAAGAATGCGGTGTATGTGTGTGTGTGTGGATGTGCATGTGAGCGCGTGTGTGTGTGAGGCACTCGCTTAATAACATTTTAAAATAAATGCTTTATTTATTGCGAAAGGTAATTACGAATGACCCAGGTCCAGTGCCCTGTGCACAGCGCCCATGATATATGAAACCATAATTACTTTAATTAAGCAAATATTTTCACGCGCCAAGTTTTGCACGTTGTTGTTGCAGGTCAGCACATTGATTGAGCATATTTATTAAATGGCTCTTATTGCTCTCATTGTTGTACGGGCGGCAAACAGCAACAGCAACAGCAACAGCAACAGCAGCAGCAGCAGCTCTCAATAAATTGATGCATTTTAATTATCATTTATAATACCGACGCCACCATTGTAATGGCCGTTGAATGCGCCAGTTGAAACTGTGGCTCACGTTTGTTCGTAGCGGGAGGGTAGAGGACGTCATTCGCTTGACTGCCAACAGACATGAGTAATAGCCCGATTTGAGTGTATAAAAAGAGCGCAGAGAGAGAGAGAGACTGACAGTGTCTCGACTCTTTGCGAGAAGTGAAAAACAAAACGGCAGATTTAAAAACCCACGCAGCCAGTGAGCATACTGAAACTATGTTAAGTTAAATTAAAATAACTTGGCAAATAGAATTTGTTGCCATACGAGAACTTACTTTTCGACCGATCTGTGAGACCAACTCGCATAGAAACAAACAAATGGACAGACGGCTGCTGATACTAATAAAGAATATATATATTTACAAGGTCAGAGATGACTCCTTCGGCACGTTACGCATTTCGGAACAAAATAAGAATACCTTCTCGATATAAAAAACAACAGGCAATAAATTTGGAGTTGTTGTTATTATTTCAAGCAATGACATCAGAATATATTGTGGTACATTAATCGTCTGGAAAATCAAAAAGAAAACAAGTAAGAGGTTCTAGTCGGGAGCTCCCGACTAGAGGATACCCTGAACCCTCTTCTTCCACCAAATATATATTCTATTTTAGAAGCTAAATGTCAAGTTTGGTGACTCTAGCTCTTATTATTAACCAAAATAGCAAAAAAAAAAACAGGATATCGATATCGATTTTTATCGATTGCTTGGAAACGGATAAAGTTATCGATTATCGGAAACAAACTCGATCTGCGCAGGCACTAGAAGCACCTACATCTTATACCCATTTTTAATGGGTTCAGGGTATAAAAAAACAAAGAGACAGCCTAAGGTTGCAAAAATACTTATACTCTGGTGCACAGAGTGCACGCGTAAAATGCCTTTGAATAGAAATGACTGATGGGCAAATGGACATGACTGAATAAGCTCGGCTCTTGATCAAGAGTATATGTATATATAGGTCGGCGCATACGCCGCATGTCTGTGTGGTTGCACGTGCGACAATAATGATTGGGAATGTCAAAATATTTGGTACTACACAATGATTAGCAATGTCAAATGAAGTTGTGTGCTGCGACTGATCTAAAAGCATTATTGTCGCTTTGCTTAGAGCTGTCAGGGCGATGCTGATCTGATACTGAAGCAAACGAGGGTGTAGGGTATCGCCTTGCCACTAGAGCACTCTTGTTTGCCGTGTTGAAAGGTGGGTGGTAATTAATGCTGCATTTATTCAGGTAAAAAGATCGCTTCACATTATAAAAATGTTTCCAGAAACAAATATATATGTTATATGTATTGTTGTCAATCATAGATGGTCGTGTGTATGAAAACAAGCATAGATTTGTTAGTCTTATTGGATGGATTGATTGGATTTATATAAATGCACCGACTAACCATGGGTAATCACAACAGTAGCAATAACAAAGGCCACCACATATACCCCTATGACTGAGGCCTTGTAATCCTCGAATGTCATCACTTGTCCGATTATTTACTTACAGACAAATGGACATGATTTAATGGAATCGGCCATTAATGCTGATCGAGAATATTTGTATATATTTTGTATGGGTTCAGAGATGCTTCTTTCTGCCTGTTTCCACAACTTAATTATATTCGTATAAATGCGTACAGGGTATAAAATATTTCATGTCGTCTGTGTGTATGTGTAAGCATTAAAAGAGAAGTCTTCGATTGATTTGTTTATGTGGCAATATTTAAATTTTGCCATTTAATAATTGTATTTAAATCATGTCGTAGAGCTGTTGTTACTATTTTTAGCAATAAGCTTTTTTCTTTTGTGTCCATTTACACGCAAGCTGGTTAAGTTTATTTTTATCCCTAAAAAACTCTCGCATACACAACGGGAAACGATAGCAAAATGAATCATATGTCGTTCAGGTTGACTGCCACAAACACAATCACATATTCTCGCTACATGTACACGTCCACGACTCAGATCGTGGCCTTCATAGAAGTTTGTTCTTTCCTTTCCCTTGTTATTTTAAAGCGGTGCACGTTTTAAAACTGATACAGAAGTTGAGTCAACATTTTATTATTGTGATTCGATTACATTGAGGTGATTAATGCTGCATTTTCACAGGTAAAAGATCGCTCCACATGATAAGTATGCTTCCATAAAGCTATGTATACATATATATTTATACTGGTGGCAATTGTTGATACACTAAGTTATGAAACAAAGAATTTGTCAGTTTTATTTTATTTGGGTTTTTGTAAATGCACCGACTAACCGTGATGAATTATAAGGACACCCAAGAAAAAGGCAACCACAAATACGTTTACCCCTATGAATAGGGCCTTGTTATCCTTGAATGTCATCATGTTGTCCATTTGTCACTTTATTAACTGGAAAGATTCCCGACTGAGACACCGACCGCTTCTCCCGACGATCAGCTTGCAACTGACTGGCGATCAAGCGCATAAGCAAGGGGCATTGAGAGAGAGAAAGACACAATTCAGTGCACTTGAGCAACTCTTGCTCACATGCACAGTGACTCAAATTAATAAACTGATAACTAATAACTAAATTGAGTATAAATATACATTAGATACCATAATATACTACTATATATAATATGCTTTGGGGTTTCTTAACATTTTGTGCAAAATAGACAACTACATATTTGCATTTTTTTTATGTTAAGGTATATATGTTACAGTATACAGGCTGCTAGCGACACAACAGTGAAGCTGCACCTCCTATCGATAGCTAGCATCGATAACTAATCGATAACTAAGAAATTCACAAGAAAACAAGATTTCGGATATGGATATGGATTTTATCGATCGTACATAAAAACGGACACACAGAAGTAGAGTTCTAACTAGATCGACTTGTCTATTAATGGTCACCAAGAATATAATTACTTTATTTGGTCGGAGATGCTGCCTTCTGTTTGTTGCATGCATGTGCGCAAACCCAGAATACCCGCTTTACACACTCTCAGTGTACCAAAACATTCAAAAAGTCAAGAATTCCTCTCGCAGAGCAATAAAGTGTGCGAACAATCAAACGCATATTTAGTTTAAATACGACGTCAGAGTTTGCGCGCATTGCAAGTGAAATTCTTGTTGTTTAGCACTTTCAATGTATTTTATTTCATAAAAGTGTTAACAAAATTAAATATATAATTAGCTAAACTCAGCAGGGTCTTAGCTAATGGAGGGGCACTATACAGATCTCCATGCGACTGTTGCCACCCCATAAATTGACCTGTCTGCTCTTCACTTCCAATTGAATGCTGAATGTGTCCACCAGTGGACAGCGCACAGCCTTTGTCATGTCCACTTTGCCGTTGATCACGTCCTCAAGCAGGGCACGCAATGCGACTGGAGCCAACACGCTGAACTTGAGACTGAGCTTGGGACAACGGGCCGATAGGGTCTGCTCCTTGAGGCCATAGACGTAGACGCTGGTGCCAATTTCAATGAAGCGGCTGTGTTGGCAAGCAAATTAGAAAACGTTTCAATTAAAATGAATTTAGCTGAGTTTGCATGCAGGTTACCTCACATTACTTTTGGCCTTGTCAAAAACCAACAGCTCAGCGATAATGGTCAAAAAGTCGAAGAGTTTCTCTTCCTCGCTGGCAATTGTGTCCTTCTCTTGGATGCCAAAATGCACGCCCAACACCTCCAGCTGAAGTTGCCAGTGCATCAGATTCATGGCCGAGCTGACAACGCGAAATTTGCGAAATTGCTGAGAAATCGAAAAATTGATTGTTCAAAAATGTGAATGCGTGCAGCGCATAATAAGTTAGACTCTACCCACTCGTAAGAGATTCAGAAGCGTCATAGTTTGAACTAGCCGGCGCTGATTTAGACGTATACGGGCTGCGGCACCCTTTGGCCACTCGGCTGGCGTCCACTCTAGATTGTGATAGAACTCGTGCAGAAATTGATGCATCTGTGTGACATCGATGGCCTCCTCGCCAGTCGTCAGTTGCTTGTAAAATTTCATCAGTTTGCCAGTAAATATTGCATCATAGCCAGAGTTGATGAAGTAATCGGTGGACTGTGCCAGAACCTGCACACAAAAGTGGATACAGTTAATGTGGAACTATCTTTCTCTCTCTCTCTCTCTCTCTCTCTCTTTTCCTCTCAATGTCTTACCTGCATCACAAAGTTTCGCATGTTCTGGTCATCGTTTCCATGCTGTTGGCGCAAATGAAAGTTGGCAAACGATTTGTAGCTATGCAACATGCAGTCCGAGTGCTCCACTTTTAATTGATTGGATGCATGGCGCAATATATGCTGTTTATCGGGATCTACTTTCGATATGATTAGATGCAATGGACCAAGCGGCAAGTCCATTAGTTCCACTTGCTTCAGCTGCTCCAGTTTTGGGCGCTTTGCACGCGTGGGCCCGTCTCCGCCAGCTCCGACAACTGATGCAGAAGATGATCCTTTCCGTTTCCTGGGCGCCATTTCTCTTGTATAAAAAGAGTGAAAAACTCGCCAAACTCTATCAACTTGTGTGGTTCTATCAACGAGAATTTATTAATTGATCTGCCACAAAAGTGTCGCCTGTTTGAGTATATAATAAAGAATGTGGCCTACTGGGGTTTCCTTTTTTTGTTTTGGCTTTTATTAAATGTAGTTTAATTTACAATCAATTCAATAAACTGTTTATAATTCAAATACATGTGTATATTATGATATATTATAAAAAATTGCTTTCCATAATTTGTTAAACAAATGCCCCATAGTTAATTCAGTTATAAACATTTACAATATCTAAAAGTAGAGCACCTTAAAATTGATTGAAAACAGGCAATTGCACTGTTAAACGATTGTTAAATATTCATTTTACATTTTACTGTTAAGCTACTGTTAAATATTCTCTTTTAGCTGAGCATTAGTTTTATACACAGTTATACACTAGATTAAATTCTTTATAAAAAGAAGGCCTGCTAATTGGTCATTGAGTTTAGTCAAGAGGTGCATATTTTTGAGTAAAACGTTGTAAAACGTTTATATAAATATCCAAAACGCGATTTGGTTTAACAGAAATGCAAAATACTTTGAATGTACAATAAGTAGTTCGAGCTTTTAAATCTTAGGCAAAGAAATTTAAACAGTGGACGCATTCAGCAGAGAATTCTAATAAACGAGCCGATTACGAGTTGCGATTCTCACATCTTTCAAGTATTATTCATCAAAACTCTCTGCACTAATAGCTCGCATAATATTTGTGACATATTTAGCTACAACTATCGAGGAAAAACTTTTAACTTGGTTCCTTTCGTTACATTTCAGGCATTTCATGTAACTCAAGTTGTTAAATATAGAGTTTCTATAAGTACATAGCATGTCAGAGGCAAGTGAAAGTTACATATAATACAGGACAAAAGCGCTTGAAATATGCGAATAAACTTGAATTAATACAAAAGGCAAACTTGTATTGCCAATCAAAATGCGATTGTTTTGCACATATTTCAGAATATGTTGACAACAATTGTCTCGAGTGATTGGCAAAATTTGCATTCATACAAAATACTTGACACTGACAATTGGCATACAACAAAACAACAAATAAATGAATTAATTAAAAATGTTAACATTTGCCGTCGAGTGCTCAAAATGAGTCGACACATAACACAATTTGCCTCTATATGCGAATATACATGCGTGTACTTGTTTATAAATTAACATTAAAGATTATGAATAATATTTGACTTAAATACTATGCAAATAACTAAGAAACCAGAACTAACTGACAGATGTCTGTATGTGTGTGTGGGTGTGGGTGTGTGTGTGTGTGTGTGTTGAGGTCCACCTTAGGGCTTATCGAAGCCCGCAAAATCGGAGGACTCGGAATCATCATCGTCCCGTTCAACGCCTATGCAATGTATGCCCGTGCGCAGCATGGGCGTACCCTTGCCTTTGCCCAGGACACGCGCCGCAATCACCAGCTGCAGCAGCTCCTTGGCATTGTTCGAGTTAACAATGTGGAGGACTTCGCGCAACAGCTTCTCCTTGTAGGCAAAGAACTCGATTTTCATCTCATAGAAATCGTGCTCGTCATGCTTGGTGCCCGTGAACTCCGTGATCCGGCAATGCAGATTCGGTGTGGCGCTCACATCCGGCACAAACTTGGTGCCCGGCGCGCCCGTATTGCCAAACAAACTGACCGGCAAATTCAGATCAATCAAATAGCGATGATTGATCTGCAGAAAGCCCAGACTGACGACAATCGTATCGCCCGAGCGCTGATACGTAACACAGCTGTCCGAGCCAAAGTCATCAGTCTTCAGTGTGGTCGCATCAAAGTGTACGTGATGATCTGCGAAAGAAGAGTGGATTGTTTTGAATATATACTTTAAATAACTAGCTGCAATTGCATGCGTTTAGTCGGGCATGCTCGCTTTGCGAATACCCCTCAAGCAGCACGCAATTGCACTTAGCAACAGGTTGTCATAAGTCTTACTCATATTTGCAATGACAAATCTTGATAAAGACCAAGCATTATATATATAGATTATTACGTGCTTGAACAGCTTGCGAATTATAAACTTTTTTTTGTTACTCTAATTCCAAAGCCTTGCTGTTTGTGTGTCTTTTTGGCGTGTTAGAATTTATTGCTCAATGGGCACATAAATAGGATATAATCTATTAAAGCTTTACAAAAATTAAGTATGCCTGACTTGCAGATACCCTGTACCTTTGAATTGCCATATAAAACATTCTTATTTGTTGAGTATTTCTTTGCCGTCAGTTTTAACTGTTTCGCACTTTGGAACATATTTTTGTATATATTTTTTGTGTTTATTGTACGATTGCGTTGAAATTTTAAGTATATCAATATTTAAATGAAATATGTGCATATAGCAAACATTAAAGATTTATTTATAAATATTTTAACACTTTTTCTGCTGCTAGAATTTTAAACTTGATCTTAGTTAGCTTACTTCAAATGTCTATCTAGCTATCTGACTGTTTACCAAATTAGATATGTTGGGATATTGATAAGCAGATTGACATGGTACATCGTACATGGTACATGGCACATGGTGCATGGTACATGGGACATGGGACATGGGAACTAGATGTAAGATGTTCAAACTATTTAATTTTTACAGCTTCAGGAAGTTTATGTACCACATATATCCACTTAAAGGGTATATTTGGGCTTAGAACAGTCTGTTCGATTATCTTCTCATCTCCACAAGCCTTAGAAAATATCTTCAAATTCTAGAAATGGGCTGCTAAATGGATGTCAAAAATCGAAGTATTCAAGGCCAAGCCACATAAATCGTTTCGCACAAATCAAGCAGAAACCCAAAATATCTTCAAATATATTCGACAGTTTGAATGTCATTGCGCGGTGCCGTACAGTTTGAGAGTCACTCAATTTGCAACTAGTTATCGCTTTTTACACAGATAACAGAGCATGGTAATTATTTTGTAGTTAAAATTTGTTGACTGCTGCGCTGCAGCGCACGTGGAAAAACGCCCGGCGTTGCCCGGCAGCTGCTTGCATCTGGCCACGTGTCGTGTTTTTGTTATTTGCATATTTGCCACCGGCAAACATAATTAATTTGCATTTGAACTTGTGGCCAAAATCAATGGCAGGTGAGAGCCGCAAAAAGTGTACACAAACACACATCTATATACATATATATATATATATAGACCGGCAGCTTTACTTATTTAGCTTGCGCCAATAAAGATAGCTGAATAAATAAATAAACAAACAAAAAAGAGCCAACGTCTGTGGGGCAAACACACGCCGCTGCGCTTGGCAATAAAGTAAACTTCCACAATTCCGACGACGACGAGCAAGATGATGATGATGACGATGATTAAGATGATGATGATGACGCTGAGGAAATTGCGTGTAAGCGCGCAATTAAACTCGCTCCACTTTGTCGAAGGCGGCGCACGGCAATTGGCAGCAAAGTCTTCCGGTTTCGGATTCATTTACTTGGAGCCAAGGCCGCACGGATTGCTCAGGTTACTCTCGAGGGCTTAAATTGCATTAAAATTGGGTCAATTGGGACCAAAACGTGGGACCAAAACGTGGCTGCCTCTGCTGTGTGCAGCGTCTGGCGGAGGAATTTAATTCATAATAAAATACAAATCAGTTTTTGATTGAATTTTAAAACACAAAAAACCTAACGCAGCTAAACCTGACTATATTTAATGTATAGATAATTATATAATTTATATCTATATATAGATATATATAATCTCGATGTTAACAAACCCATTTACAGCCCGCTAATCGTGCGCTTGTTTTACAATTTAATTAGCAACATTTTCTTTTTACGAGCCTAATGCAAATATTTATATAAAAAACTCCGACGGCCCATTCACAAGTGCTTGTTTTTGTGCTTTACACATCGATCGGTTGACGTAGCCAAAAAAAAAAAAAGCAAAAAATCATGGTTCTTTAACTTGGCTATAAATAGCCGTTTCTCGTGTTGGCAAGTCGAAAACCTGCGACGAGCAGCAAAACTTGGGGAAAGCTCTTGCAGCTAATTGTAGAAATATTTCGACATATTCTAGCATAAATTGTTGATGCCAAAGATTTATTTTTATATATTATTTATTATGTATTAATATTTATAAAAATATATATATATATATATATATTATTTACAATCTAATCTAATCTGTGTTAGGAAGACCTTAAACTACAATTAACTTCTATGACTTTTTATAGTCATGTGAAGGCTAACAGCGCCGATCTTCAAGTATATATTCTTTATCGTGTAACATAGGAAGTATCGGTAGTAAACTAGGTTTTCTTTAAAAGTTGCCGACTCTGCAGATACTCTAACTAAGCTTTGCAAATGGACTTGGTTAATCCATCTAAATCGTGTGCCTTGGAGCATAGCTTCCATTAAAATGTATATAACAAATATCTTCTTGTTGTTTTTTTGTTTAATATCTTGACTTAACTTGGATTTACGAGCCATGCGATCTTATCTAAGTCGGACTACAATTTCGTAAAAAAAAAAAAAAACGCATCAGATAAGGTTTAGGCACAACATATTTATACAATATAGCTATGCGATTTTATGGGAATAAAAAAAGCATAAGATTTATTAGATTTTTTCGACCAATTACGAAAAAACCATATATATAAGATATATGAATAGCATATTTTGTTTAAATATAACTTTCACAAGAAAAATCATTCAAAAATTGTCATCAAGCATGGAAACATGGCCTGGCCAGAGGCCATTATTTTTCTTTTCAAAGTTAGTCATTTTTATGCACTTATATGTGCTAACGTTTTGTTTTTCATAACTCTGCTTTATAATTCATTCAAAATTTTGAGCTGATGCACATTTATTTCCTTACTTTTTAAGCACATTTCATTTGTCAGTTTTATTTGTTGTGATAAGCGCGGCGCATGAACAGACACACATAAATATGTATATTTGGTTTTATAAAATATATTTATTTGGCCTTTCTATACATATATATATATATATAGATATATATTTACATATATGAATATAGGTATATGCATGTGCTACAAGTCAGAGGAATGTCTGCGCGAAAACAATTCGTTTCTTTTGGCCGATCGCCCGCTCAGCAAAGACATCGCATATATTATATATATATACATGTGTAAAACGTGCGACAGATTGAAATTTATTCGCTTTTAATGCGACTTTAATTTAAATCATTTACAGGAAAAGCCATTCAGCAAGTATTTTCTGCCTGCCTAATGTAAAATTGAAGCGTATCCACGACAAAGCTTCCACAGAAAACAAATTAAAGGAAAAAAAACGTAATCCAGCAAAAACCGCTTAAATGCGAGTCAATATTTAAAGACAGCCAAAAGGCGAGCACAACAAGTGCCACCCCCCCCCCCCTCCCCCCCTCGAAAAGCCCTCATATGGCGATGTATATAAAAAATTTCTTTATGTGAATTTCAATAGAAATGTCACGTTCTATGCGACTCGTCGCAATCAGCGAAGATCAAATCATAAATGCCTAGAAGAGACTCTCTAGAGAAGTCGTCCACCCTTTCCCCTCTCCACACAAACACACCCCCCAACAACCCCACACCTCCACAATCTAGCCCCAAAAAATGTCCGATTCTGATTTTGCCCCAATGTTTGCCTAGTTGAAAGCTTGTCAGTCGATCAATTGATGGACATTCGCCCATTCATATAAAATATTCAATTGCTTTGTTTAATTAACATAACAGCAAAGGGGGGCACTGGGGAGGGAGGTGTGTTCTATGGCTACAGTGAAAACCTTTTGGAAACGTTTCCACATTTAGCAGAGTTCGTTCCGCTCGGCTGATAGCTTTGAGTCTGACGTGTGAGCATTATTTTTTTTTTTCAGTTTAACAAACAGTCACATGTTGTTTATCGGATACTTTAGTTTATTCTATTGAGGCTTTGAGAAGACTCAACCTGCCCGCCGCTCCCCTTCCCTCCCCCTCCTGTCTCACGAAATCTTTTGAGCACGTATTTCATTTAATAATTGCTGAGGCTTGTTTAAAAAGTTGCCAGGAAATTTTGTTGAATAACAAAAGCGCACGAATTAGATACGTTTTAGCATAAATTAAAAGTGTTATGTTATGTACAATAAAATTTATGCATTTACAGAGCTCATTGCTGAGATTTTACAATAATTTGCAAATTTAAGAAATGCATTAAGGATTTAAGAAACGATTTTACAGCAGAGAGTAGACAAATAAATACCCTACATCACATTTCAACTAAAAATTGTAATGAAAAACTGAGTTCAACTTGTTTTGTACTAAAATGAGATCATACATTAGTTAAAAACATTTGAGCACAAGTTTAATATACTAATTTTAGCTCACATTTTTAGTTCAAATACTTTTTCACTTTTTTTCCACCCAAGCGAGCGGAACTTGTTTACTTTCTCGATAAAGGGGGTCTACTGTAACTGCAGCTTTCTAGCTTAAGACTTTGAGTAAAATCTATGATAAAAACGCCTATGTCCACAGATGAACTTTAACTTGTGCGAGTTTTTACTGTATTTGTATATGTATATATATTATATATGTGGCATGTATAGGAAGTAATCAGACCTTGAATATGCTCTTTGATAAATACGCCTTTTTCCAAAGATCAACTATAACTTATAGGAGTTTTTACTGTACTATACACACACATATATTTCTATATATATGATATAAACAACTGATATCTACTATAAATATTGTGTGTAATCGTTAATAATTGAAATTGTTCAGTGCCACAAATTGTCGTCTTTTGCCGTATCTTTTGGCTGCTCGCAGCTGGTTGTGATGTCATTTGGAATGGGCAATAGAAAAATTATAAGCAA